TAAATTAACAGCAATACTTCCTTTCCCCAAATTGGCTAGATTTGTTGTGAAAAATCTATTAATATATTTAGCTATGAGGCACTCCAGTAAGTCAGCAACAAGTATCAAAAGTGTAAGAGAATTTAGTCTTCAGAATAGTTTATCTGTTACACATTGGTTAAGAGCAGCCACACTGCATTAATGAGACAGGAGAGCGGCCCACAGCAAGTGAGCACCTACCTGCCGAGCTCCTGAGCACAGGCAGCCCATGCATTTAAAGATCTGTAAAACTCGCATGTAGAAATGATGCAGAGCAGTAGCTCTTACCTTTCCTAGCTTTGAAGGACATGGAAACTCTGTCATCTGGGTAAGGTTAATTAAAAGCAAACACACACTGCCTGTGTAATGAAACACTATACTTTGCTATCAAAAAAAAAGCACTTATACTGTTTTGGGAAATTACTGTTGCAACATAAGAATCTGAACTCTAACTTTTCCAATGTAAGAGCTCAATTCTTCCAAATACTGGAGCATACGCCCAAGTGTGCATTGAATAGAGTCTAACCCTCTGGGCAGATGGGATTACAGTAGAGGTTTTTTGCGCTGTGTCTCCGAAAGAACCTAACAGAAATGCCAGAGACTTTCCCTAACGATACAGCCCTCTTGCATTCCCATTACTTATTCCTCAGCTTCCTCTTGAGAAGTTCAGCAACTCTAATACAGATTCCAACAGGCTTTAGTGCCTGACATCGTGTATGCCGGTTCAGTTTAAATTTGTATGTTTTTTTATAACCAAATTTATGGCTCAGTCATCAACACAGGGAATTGTTAGAGGTATCAGCTAAAGCTATTACACAAAGTTTCTATAAGCACAGGCTCCTCCAACTGGGGAACACATCTATATTTTTGCACTGCAATATAAACAATATAAACAAAATGTGGGTGGAAAAATTCACATTATGATTAGAAGTTCCTACATTAGGCTCTCTGGAAAAAAATACTGTGTATGATTAGGCTCTCCATAACATTTGCTTGGAGCAATACTTTTCCATTTTGGCACAAAATGTATTTTTAAATGGTCTTTTCAGACTTTATCTCCTGAATGTACAAGTCTCTGCCTTAAAGCAGCAGGCTACTAGAAAGAAACTGCAATTTGTCAAACACAAATAGTTTTTAAAGGCAAAAAAAAAAGAGAGAGAAAGAAGCAGCCAAACTTTTTAAAATAATAGAATAAAATGGGCGTCCAGTTCTCCTCTTTGAGAACCAGAAGTTTCCAGAAAGCAATGATCCTACCTCCCTCCATCTCTAGATCACCTGAAACCAATTATTTCCTCCAACATCTCAAAAACTTGGGCAGACTTTGCTCTGCTAACGTCAACTTCCAGTTTCTACAGTTTCACCAACCATCATTTTAAGTCAACCACCCAAACTGACTTCAAAAGTGCTGCAGTCATCACCTGCTCCCTGCTCACCCCTGCAAAGCAGTTTTGTTTTCCCCAAACATGACACGACCTCTCACGTAAGCAAACACATCAACAGGGCCATCTAGCTGCTCCTGCACTTGAATTTCACACACACGGTGTTTACTTCAGCCCTGCAAAGGTATCACTGTATTCTACTTTCACAATGTTAAACCACCAGAAAACACCATGGTGAGCTGGAAATGAAACAGGATTTCTTGCAGAGCTGCACAGAGCAATACCAGCTAATTACTCCAGAACAGTTATTTGTAAGTTAAACGATTATGCCAGGGCAAAGCTCTCACAGCTACAGAATTATTTCACAGTAGTTACACACTACATACAGGGTGTGCAGAAAAGTCTGCATTTCATTATCCCTCAATGACCATTCTGGAATACGAGCACCACTATTTCCCCTGCATCTGTGAGAGTCTGAAAGGTTCCAGGGATAGTGACAACGTATGTGGAAAGTAACTAATGATGGTGTTAATTCTGCTTTGACAGATAGCTTTGCTGGATGTTTTAAGTACATCTAAATATCAACTTTGTTCTCACTAGGGAGTTAGGAAGAGTTAAGAGTAAGGAGTAAACAGATGAATGTATAGCTTTACATTTACTCTTCCCTCATTAAAAAAAAAAAAAAAAAACGTATTTTGGTGGAACACAAGCGAAAAATATTGATTTATATGTGCTATAGAAAAATAAGTACTGTGGGAAGCTTTCACGGAGACTGACATACTCCAGCCCCCAGTAGAGATGTGAGCTTCTACACTCAGCCTGAATATCAAGTCTACAGCGCATTGAAAACCACTGTCTGTTAGCAGCATGGCTACACTACTGGGTTAGCAAAATTATCTGAAACTAGGTAGCATTTGCATGGTCAAAGATAAAGCCTAAATCAAATAAATACCACAGTTTGTCTACTAAAATTCTATCTCCTATTACAAATAACCACTTTTCCCCTCTTTTTCTCTAGGAACATCCACCTTTTTCCCTTTCAATTTCTCTCATTTCCCCTTATATCTATCACTCCAACTTTCCTACCTCTGTAGACAGAAGCAAATCTGGACCAGGAAAAACATAAAAATATACTGTAATCAGAGCCTTTCCCTTTTCACACAGAAGTCCATCAAACAGAGCAGTCTTCATGCACTCCTTCAGTAGCCAGGACTTTTTTCCATCTTACCAGCCAGAAGCGGATTTCCATACTGACTGGCAGAGCAAGAAGTGAAATACAGAATAAGTAATTAGGGAAAATATACCATTAGTTGCCAACCAGAAGCATGGAGAGACAAAGGGCAGGATCACATATGCCGGGGAAAAAAATATATATTTTATATATACATACATACATACATATATATATATATATATATGGAGGTAGGGCGAGAAGTATGAACATCCCTGGAACACTGAGGATGGAACAAAAACCATGTGGAGCTGCTGGCAGACTGGAAGGGGACATATCAGCATGCTCATTAATATTACTTAAACCTGAAGTTTTTCTTAAATTATTGGTGTTATATTAGTGTTATGGGGCAGGTATTGTTAGCACCTCCCACTATGGCAACAGCAACAACAAAAATGGTGTTACTACCATGGATTACGCACACTGTATAATAGGGATTCATTCCTATTGAGGAATTAACACTGTGAGACCTGGTTACACAGCTTCAAAACTTACTAAATAGTCTATTTTTTTAATTAGTTTTGCAAACTGCATTCAGCACTGATTCTATATGGAAAAAGAAGAAAAGACTAGTTTTCCATTCAGAAAAATTTCTAGTAAGCTGCATTCAAGCAAAGAAGCACTCATCTTTCAGAAAGTGACTTTCTTTTTATCCATCATTTCTTTAAAACAATACTTATATGTATCTATTTTCGCTACAGACATAACCTTTCAAACACCAAGATTCCTGAGGGAAAAAATAACTGAGGCTCTGCAGGTTCAAAGATACCATAAAAACACTTAACTGCTCAAATTCATTTTCAAAATGAATGTTGAAAAATATTTGTTAAAAATTCAAGGTTACAAGCCATACTTGTATTCTCGAAAAAGCAAAAAGAACCCCAAGTAATTATTCAAATCAGTACAAGGTATCTCCTTTCTTCAGGCAGCTGTACCTATGGAAGGGAACTCATTATCAAAGACAGTATGGAAGTCCAGAGTTGAAAGGATGAAAAGAAAGCAAATCCCACAACAAAAATCACAGACTAAGCAGTGATACCCAAATTCAGCAGTGGAGATAAATGCTGAAAAGCACAAACCCTCCAAACAACGGAGATGTGGAGAAGAGGTTTCTTTAGGAGGGCAAGGAGCAAGGTGAGGCTGATTATTTCTCAGCTGCCATGGATGAGCTTTCTTCTAGACACTATTTTTTCCTGCCCAGTGCAGCAGGGTGTGATACTGGAGCAAAGCAATTCCTGTGTTTCCTAAGCACATCAAAATTGGCAGCATCTCATCTTTCGCACCATCTGAAGTGAATATTTTTGCAAATGGAGCTGTACTAATCACCTTCAGGCTGCAAAATCGCATGAGACAATGTAACGCTGGCACCAGCACGTTAGAAAGCAGCCAGAAGGCTTCATGTCCTGTCTGGAGGGGGACCCACTTCACGCAACTTGTATATGTCATTATACGACGGTAGCCAGAGCTCTTCTTCACACAACACCACTGCAATTAACTGGCTGTCCACACGCAGCCCACACGCTGGCAGCTCACAGCAAGATGCTAACACATCACATTGCATTCTTTGTATATGCAGTACTTGATTTCTTTTCTCCTTCACAAAGAAACCTTCACAAATCAGTGAAATCAATACAAGATGACTGGAAGTCCATAATGTTTGCCACAACAGCTATTCTTTGGAAATTTGTCAAAGGGAGGGAAGGGAAGCATCAGGTAAGAGAACACTCAAAACCAATTTTAGCAATAGCAATGCTAAATAAAGTAGAAATTTAAATTGCCATTACAGTGTATTTTGACTATTAGCCAAGCACATACATTAGAAATATACAAAGCAGTTCTAGTTCCCTAATAAATTATCATATGGTTTAAGACATAAGGATTATGCTAATTACCTGTCTTATAGAAACAGGCTAAGTCCAATCCTGCAACTGCTCCAGGCATGAAACTCAAAGTTAAGTTTGCAGAAATTTAATTTGCAGGGCAGCTACAGAATCCAGTGCTACTAGTTTGGCAGATCTGAGACAACTTCTACAATGCAGGAGAAGCCTGAAAAGTTGCTTTTACTGACGCTGAGAAAATATCAACCCTGACTAAAAATGTACTCCACCCTTGTTGAAGGAAATGAATTGGATTTAGCTCTTGGTTTTCGTTCCCTTTCTTACCTAAGCAAACCCAAGTTTGTCACACTCGGCTGGTCATAAATGAAAGCCTACAGCTACAAAGTTCCTGCATGAGACCATTTTCCTCTGGACATACCTGCCCTATTTTTCAGGACTCAGACTGAAGCCTCTGAAATTTTGAGATGATCGACACTGTTAAAAACATCACACAAACCAACCCTATATTTGCATTGATTCCAAAAAAAAAAAAAAAAAAGAGCTTGGCCAGAATAGTGCTATAGAAACAATGACATTGTTTTTGACTAAAAACACTATTTTAAATGAACAGGGATTGTTTTATTTTAATATAGTCATTAGAGATGTACTCAAAACAACTATATAATGTTATTTTTCCTTGCTGAGCAAGGGTATTTGCTCACAAAAATCAAAATGTGTATTTTAAATAAAGACAGTAGCTTCTTACAGAATACTTTATCCTTGAATTAAGGCCTGTAATAAAAGAATGAAGTTTAGATATTGTCTGATGTTTTGCTGCTAGTCTTTTTTTCTTCCTTTTGGTACTTCAACGATATCAATTCAAGCCCTTAAACTCCTTCAAAAGCCTCTTCAGCCCAGAATTTTGTTGCAGCTGTGTCTACATGAAGGTGGGAAAGTGGGAAAAATTATCTCCCACATTTTTAAAGTGCTCTCTTTCACATTTATTTTCCATTCCTCTCATTTTACGTTTTATCCCAAGACAACTCAATGGTCTGGAAAAACTTATTAGCAAACCTACTCCCCACCAAAACCTCCCTTTTGTTATTTAAACATATCTGTACCTTCTCTACCAATTCCTCCCACTTCTTATCTTCACACTGGGTTGTAAAAAAAACAAAACACAAAACAAAACAAACAAACAAACAAACAAACACCAGCTAAATGTTGCCCAAAAGTGACCAGTCTTGAACAACTTCAGCAGTCAAATTCTAACAAAACTAATAGCAATTTTGCCTGACTCTTTGAGGCAAGAAATTCATCTTACTCTACAAATTGTAATCTTTCACATTTACTCACCAGCCAGATACTCATCAGTATGTAATAAAAGCTATTCAAAAACACACTGACACACTGATGGAAAGTGTTAATCCTCTATTTCAAGGTGTTAATGGTGTTGAGGAAACTAGCCAGGAAGAATGTCATCTTTGGGAGGATGATTCAGGGAAAGGAAATTTTACAACATTTTATTGGAATCTGTAAGAAACTTATGTTGCATATGGAAGAAGGTAAAAGACAGCCTATTGATCCAAGTACAGTAGTTCCAGCTTTCCCTCATTAATGCAATATGGTATTTAATACTACCTACCTGAATCATCAGCTAATCTGCTGATTCTCTCCAAAACAGCAATACAATCTCTCTCGTCATCACTGACTTCCTTCAAGGTGTCCAGCAAACTTCGAGCCACCATTTGCCTAGTTTACAATTAAAAAATAAATAAATAATAAATAAAGAGAGCATTATTTGTGTCCAGAAACCTGTCTAAACCAAAAAGTCATGCAATCATACAAGTTTCTTAAAACAAACAGTAAAATTGTACATAGGATTCTTTTTGACTCAGTAACTTTGGTTGTTTCTACTTTCAGAACACTCAATTGTGACGTTTGACATAATCCTAGAGAACTGTTAACTTCAGTGTAGCCCTGGAAGGATTCCTTCAGTTTACCAGGACAATGGAAACCAGTCACAAAGCTAACAAGTGATAACTGCTTGTCAAATGAACAGTGGAAAGAAAGTGGGTATCAGACTTCCAACCTGGCTTCCGAATCCTATAACTCAATGCATACAGAGCCAGGCAGCATCATCACTGTCAGGGCAGTTTTAAATAGAATTAGGAGCTTATTTGCACAAGTTTTAAAATATGAGCACCAAAGCTGAAGATTTTCAAACCAATAACATTTTAAAAGTACCCTTTACTCAATGCTGTACAGAGCAATATATACATACTGTGAAAATAAACACATGCACAAACGTGTATTTATGGAACATATATTTGAAAAAGTAGCAAATTAAATCTAAGTAAATATTAAATAAGTCAGAATCACTCCACTTCATAGTAGTAAGTCACAAGAATTTTTTTAAGGGTTGTCCATGACAAGATACAGTCAGATTTGGATTTCTGTCCTGTTACTGTTGCAGCCTATGGTACAAATACATACCCATCAGTTACCTGAAGAGCCCTAAACACTCAATTCTTAAACACCACAGAAGACAACATACGTCAACCAACCTTTTTTCTCAGCACGAACTTGCAATGGCCCATGGTTCTCTCTCTAGTGCTATCTTTCACCCTTGGGTGCAATGCAAGTTGAACACCCACTCACTAGTACAAAGAGCTCTCAAGGTTACACTGCAGCAGTTGGGTGGACCAAGGAATGCTGTTTTACAAGCTGCTAACTCTTCTGCTGCCCCTAAGCACTCTGTCAAAATTGCTGAAGCTGCACAGGACCAATGCCAGATATCTCCAGAACTGGCCGAGGGAAACACTGTTAGGGGGTTGCCTATATATCTCACTGCTGACAAACAGAAAGGCTGTAAGCAGCAGATGCACAAGCTCTCACATTGACGACAAATGGGGGATGTAAACCACCACCACCAAATTGTAGCAGAGGGTTACGATGCTGGTATACAGGGGCCCTTCTGAACTCTACAGTTCTACGTGGCTAGAGAAATTCAGTGAGTTTTCATGAATATCCAAAATTAAGCACTTAAACTGGAAATCAGTAACTTATGTCCCACATTAGCCACTTGCAAAATTATTTCAAATGAAATTGTTTTACTATACAGATGAAAATATCTCAAAAACAAGCTGCAAAATATCTTTGCCTTTAAGAAATTTCCTTTTTCTCATAGTATTTTATTTTCAACTTGGTAAAATGCAATGTTTCCAGACTGAGAGCTTGACTTTCAGATTGAAGCTCAGCTAGGGAAACACACTATGTGACATACTAACCTAGAGGCAGAGCTGACTTGGTCTTTTAAGGGGCTGGACACCTCCACAAAGAGAAGAGGAAATTAAGTGCATTTCATATACACTAGGTTGACTAGAAGCACAACTCTTGTACATATCGAATACACTTTGCAAAGAGAGAAAAGCCAGCTGACCTGCTGAGTTGGAACTTTGAGACCATGAATGCAGATGCAACAATCTTGACCAGGCAATGGAGGTAGGTTAATCTAGCTATAAGAGGTGGTGCTCACCAATTCCTTGCACACCTGAATCATGACCACCAGCCAAATATTGCTGCAAACTAGGCCTGGAAACAGAACTGACTTCTGGAATAATATGATTCAAGCTAAATACACTTCCTACTGCCTCTTCTCCTGGAAACTCCACAAGAGCTATAAATGCTAAATAATGATATCAAGCACTGGCATCAACAGGAACACTAAAGAGAGGTGATGTCTCTCACCTCAGCCAAATGATATTCCTCTCTGCTATTTAAAGGAATCAAAGCGTGTTCAACATCTGCCCATCTGCTTCAGCAGATTCTTGTAAAAAAGTCTAAGAATGCAACAGTGTACCTAGGCTTATTTGTAAAACAAACAAAGGAACAAACACACACAACTGACTAAGATACTGATGACAGGGCAATCTCTAAGTACACATGTTCTGCATGCTGGGAGAAAGGAGCCCACTTATGTTATCTAAATATTACGGGCTCCGATCTAGGTCTGCCAACTATCTGTCAGGTGTTTTTTTTGCATACCTCCAAAGTGCAAACATAGGACTGAGAGGCAAATCTACCTTGCAGTTGCCAGAGGTGTTTAGGCAATTAGTGACGAACAGCTTAGGCCCTGCAAGTTCCTACTTCAACATGCTCTGCTTACAGGAGAAGAGAGAGTAAACAAGGTTCCCCAGTACTCTGTCTGGCAGTCCAATATATCTTCTCATGCAAGAACTAGTGGTCTGGCCACAAAAAGCACACTGCAGAGGCCTGCAGCAAAATATTAATGCGCAGTAGCGTAAGAGGCTGGTGGTAGCTTGCCCAGGAACCACCGGGTGATCACCAGCATTTGTGTAATTGTAAGAATTGAAAGGATGAATGTTCTGGTCTAGACACAGATTTGAGCGGGGGGGAGATCTGGTACCCAACTCCTCCAGGTCCAAACATGTTTTCACTCAAATCAGAACCTCTAGAGCTGTGAACTCTCCATGAAAATGATTTATTTACCATATACACTTTTAGAATACAACTACCACCTAAGCCGGTATGCAACTACTTTTACTTTAGACTACTACCAAAATAAAGAGCAGGGGCTGAAGGCTGGAGTGCAGTAGGCATCAGAAACATACTATCTATTATATGCAGAAATGAAAGATAATTAACAAAGTTTAATTTTTCATGAGCAAGCATGAACAGACCCTGTCCAAAGCTAGAAAACTGATGTACTTGCAGTTAAAGTATCTTAAAGGCACAGCTTCATTGGTGTTAGCAGCAGGAGAAAATGGCTATTTATTAGAAACACCCTGCCTTTTTGTCCACATGCAGAGCACAGATATTTCAAAGACGGCACACAAGGACATAATTGGGATTTACAATGATATACCCAGAGAAGAGCTATTAATACCTTCGCTTGCCTCATTCAAACTCTTTTTACACAGTGGCCTTATTTGGAATCTGTACTGAGACAATCGCCGTAACTATCGCATACCGGAGGTCTTCCAGTCACCATTCCTAACTCTTTCTTTAATAAATTTCTACTGTAAAATATAACCATCGGAGAGTTTGTTTGTGCAGAAGATGCATTTAGAAAATAGGCATACAAAAAAGAGAAGAAAAGAAGGCATTATTTTTTTCTTTTCACATTTATGCCTAAGTTCTAAATCAAGATATGAAGTCCTTTCAAAGTTACAGAAGCATTACCATTATTAGCTTGGCACTTACTTCCCCAAATGATGTCAGAAGATATTGCGAATCGACTCCCAATTTCAAAATGTGCATCTTTAACCCTTAAGAAAGGCACAAATTCATATAAAGATGTACATGTCCTCTGAGCTTTTACAAACATAAGGAATATTTTTTGAAATAAGACTTCTACTAGTGGCTTGTGAAACTATCTAACTTCCAAATTTGACATTTGACAGTTCATCTTTATTAACATGATTTTAACACAGACTTCTAAAGTAAAATTAATTTTATTAAATTTAAACATGAATAATTTGTATTTGGTATGTTCATATCTATAATTTTGGGTGCAAAAGTGTATTTTGGAAATTTGCTTCGTTTTTACTGAATTTATTCTGACATACAATGGAGTGAGGGAGACCAGAAAATTGGAAAGGAAAAGCTAGAAAAAGAGGAGAAAGGACCTAATTTACGCTAAATCAAATTCTTTGAGAATACAGTCAGAATTAATTCTGTTCCAGTTTCACCTGCATCACTTTGGCTTAAGTTTGGCATTTTCTTATCATCAATGTCCACTGAATATCTCAAAGAGACAAGACTTACACTGGCCTTATGGCATAAAGTGGAAGGAAAAGGAGCAGAAAGGGAAACATTAATAAATAAATAAATAAAAATGATAACCAAATTCCGGATCAACTTGTTGACAATAATCTGATCAGACTCATGTAAAAATGAGACATGGTATTTTCTTAAGCATAAGGATGGTCTTGATATGGTTATCAAGATCTCACCAAACACACTTTCCTAATTAGGCAGAGAAGTTCTTCATAGGCAGTGCATCACAGACAGATGAAAACAGCATCCTCCTGTTACAGTGGAAGGATTTCCTACAAACCCTAGGTGTCACATACAGAGTAAAATGAGCGTCCTGTCCCTGCTGACCAAAATTGGAAAGAAAGGCTTAGAATGCAGTCCTGAGACATTACCTCCACCTCTTTTTTTTTTTTTAAATACATATATATATAGATAGATAGATAGATCTCTCAGCTCCTAAAAAGCCTTATTCCATCATAGAGCCTACATTCCAAAGTCATCTAAATTTCTTTCCATAATCACAAACATATACAACCAGGGTGGATTTGTGACTGCTAGAGCCAAGAATCAAATATCTACATTAAAATCATTCACTGTCACGGGTGGTGTGGCTAGCTCTCCTTTTTGATGCCTGCTCTTTTCCATCTGGAGACCACAAAACAAGGTGGCCACCTTCTACCAACCACATGAGAAGCCATACACCTGTGTCACAGGAACACATTTTTCAGCCAAACAGAAGTTTTCCAGACAGTTTAGGCCTGGTCCTCACTGACATTGCAAACAGCAAAAGCACCACTGATAACCTGTACATAATTACAGGTGACTAGGCTTTTATGATAACTGATTTAAAAAAAAAAAAAAAACTCTGTAATTATTCACTGTCACATGTGTAGTATGTGTCATCCATTTAAGTAATAATAATAAAAAAATCTTACTCTGATTTACCCAGATTCAATGATTATGTTTAAAGCATTTGTTTACGCTTATACGAATTGAAACTGCCAGGTGCGTGCAGGTCAGAGAAATATAGTTTTATCATCTAAATTATAACAAAAAATAATCTTAATTCTACTTATATATGATTGGATGCAACACCATTTTAATCTAAAAAAAACATAAATTAAATGTTTCTTCTGAACTTACATTTACGATAAACTCCAATTCATCTCCGTCTACCAAAAGTTTCCACTATTTCTTCAGAATTAATTGTTTGATATAAGCTGTCTTCCTTCACAGGAAGTTCCATCTCCATGCGAGGAAGAAATTATTTACTGTGAGAAATTCTTTACTGTGGTAACGGAGCCCTGGAACAGGCTGCCCAGAGGGGTTGTGGAGTCTCCTTCTCTGGAGATCTTCAAAACCCGCCTGGATGCAACTCTGTGCTAGGAGGGTTAGACTGGATGATCTCTAGAGGTCCCTTCCAACCTCCACCATTCTGTGATTCCGTGTAACAGTTACCTTGAGATTCAACTGCTACACACAGTCTTATCACTAATTGTTATCTATTTCCCTACTATTTCCTATATTACCTAGTTCTACATAATAGAAGTAGGCCTACAAAAACAGCTAGGATTAAAAAACAGGTCTACAAAGGCGAAAAAATATAAAAACAACACCACACATACACAGGGACAACTAGCTACTCCAAACATTTTCCCTCACATAGAAACACAAGCGAGCATGGGACGCGCAAAGCTAGACACCACGAGCAACAAGATTTCAAGCTCATACATGCCCCAAACAGGTGATCCACACCAACAGACTCAGGCAGTTTTTTTCTTAGATGGGCAAGTACAACATTAGGACAAATATTCTTGTTCAAAGTTCAAGTTACACAACTTGGGATTCTCAGAAAATTGTTCTCTTTCTTACAGGTTTTTATTACATAATTGCTGCAAATCAAACACTGATAAGTCTTAAGGCTCTATCTTCTTCCCTCCCTCCTTATGAAAACTCAAGAACCACCTACCGTCTGGCAAATCACTGATTTCACTGTAAAGTGTAAAATAACACAAACTTTGCTTTTCAAAAAATTGTAGAATCAAGCATTTCAGAAATAAAAGTTAGGCACATACATTTATGCAGGCTCTAAGAGAAACCATATAAAAATTATTAGTTTTAGTTCATATATTAATATGAACGCATTGGCCTTGCAAATCCAAGGTATGTTAATATATGTGATATGGTATTTTAAGTACATGTCAGATGATTAGGCTAAACACATGGCTAAATCAATACAGAACTGTATTCATGCAAACAAAATAAATACTCTAATCCAGAGCATGGTTGATAATAGACAGCATAACAGCAAGTATACTTTCTTAAAGATATAGCTGGAGCTGGAGCTCTAGTCAAACTATGTTAAATAAAACTCCAGAAATCTAAACAATAAGGTGGCTCTGATCTAGTAACTATCTACAGTTGCAATCAAAATAAATGTTGTATTTGAACGTTGTCTTTCCCTTGCAGAGTATGTATGCATGCTTGTAGGTGCATGTAGTGTTCTACACTACATGTGCAACCAGCTCAGGGGCTTTAGAGAAATATAAAGTGGAAAACCTAGAGTAAAACAACAAAACAGGACAAGGTAAGATTTTCTTCTTAGCATGTCTTTTATTTTCAAAAACCAGAAGCAGCTATACTCAAGCTGTTGTATACGGATTAAGATGAATCTACAGAACATGTGCGTTCCTCTGGTAAATCGTTCCTTATTTTCTCCTGACCTCTCATTACATATTTTCCCAATGTCACTTTCTACAGACATATGGATAGTTAACAATTATCTACTACTCTTTGGTCAATAGATGTGGTCCATCTCATGAAAAAGTTCAGGAGTCCTGAAGTGCAGTTACTTAACAGGTAAGCAAACTTTTTTGACATGAATATTTTGTTCTCTGTAAGTAGAGGGTGCATCAACAAGGAGGAAAAGGAATAGAAACTGAATAATTTTGTAATTTTTAAAATTATTTGTATTTCATGCAAATGAACTTGAGTCGGATTTTAATCTGATGAATAGTGTGCACACTGTTCTCCAGAGAAGACATTTAAAAAGCATACCTGTTAAATATGTTCTCACTTGCAGCGTACTTGTCCAGTCTTCCCAAAGGCGTCAACATTTCATCTTGTGAGACAAAGTCCAGGGCTGAAGGTATAATAATCACATCAGACTCTGAGCTGTAGTCATCCACACCAACTATCAGAGACATCAGAAATATTCCTTATAATCACAATAGTTTAACACTAAAATGATGTCCGTTGATGGTCTGAGATATAGAAGTCTAGGCAAGGCCCCGTTTACAATGTATTCACTAAATTCTGCACTACAGCCTGTCTGATAATTTTCCCCTAGCTTCCCCTGATCCACCCGCCAGACCTTTTTTATACAAGACTACCTGTAAATTGGATTGAATGACTTTTGAGTCATTTCCTCTAGATTTCCAAATACGATGTTGCATTAAGCATCTGAGGCTCATATCTGTAAAAGGCAAATGACTTTTAAGCTAATTCTGAAGTCAGCTTTTTGAAGATGCCCATGCTAGAAGCCACAGTTGCAATGACCTACAGATAGAAATTTAGTACATTATCTAACAGAACAATAAAGAAGTTTAAAAAACCTAAACAAAAGTACAACAGAAGGTTGGAGTGTTGCTACATCCAACTATCAAATAGAATAGGCAAAATTCACCTATTACAAAACTAACAGTCAGTAATTACACAAGTTCATACGAACAGACACCTTTATCTATCGAAATCCACAATGAAGTGGATAACGGGTCCATCCTACCTCTGCACAGTTGCTTGAAGGGTAAGGATTTGAACTACCACCTGAAAGCTTCCATTTGCCCTGTAGTCTACTTGAAAAAAATGCAATCACTTATTTGTAAAAACCTGCAAATGCACTTATTTGCAAGAACTATTTCAGGTCACCTCCTTTACTCCTGAAAACACAACACTACAGTAAAACTGTTCTTTGTCCAAAGTCTGCCCAAATTCAGCCAAAAAGCCTTTTGAGAACTGGCAAACAGATACAAAAGTCTAACAATGAATTGTAGAAGGCAAAAAACATGGTGAAGAAAAAATTATTCTCCCCTTTCATGTAGTTATACTATATCATATAAATTGGTACTGTATTATGTAAATCAGACATTTGTATCATTTTCTTCATTATTCAACATTCAAAGCAGATAAGCAGACACAATTTTCTAGCTTCTTCCTTACAATGTTTCAAATGTCAAAATGCATACACCAAACTTCTCTTATAAAAAAAAAAAAAGTATTTCAGACTTAAGCTAAGTTAACAGCATTCCTTCACCTACAAAGTTATGCTCCCATTTTCTAGTTGTAGAATGAAGAATGCACGTGGTACAAATGGTCATAAATAAATCCTGTCCTTGGAGAAGGATCCAAATCCTTCAGTCGTTGCAAGTAAGTGGAGTTCTTCAGAGAACTCAAGGAGGTAATGGGAAAAAAGACCATTACACATCGACAGAAAGGTGCATGAACCACCAGGGAGGTAGGGGCAAGGAAAATGAAGGTTATCAGCAGCTGGGAGAGAACGAAGGTGGAAGGGCAGCTAGTAGGATAGAAATTGATGCACTTGGACATGCTTGAAGTAGAGGACAAAAAACAGGGAGGAGCACAAGGGCAGGAAGGCTCAAGAAAAGGTCAGTTGCATAAAAGTATTGCAGACCATAGAGAAAGCACTTAGCAACTCACTGTTTGCACAACTGTTTGTACATGTGTTTGCACAGACCTAAGGAGACCTAGAGACAAGGTTTTTGTTTTGCTCAAAATTCAGTTTTGTTTTCACTGGAAGAGGGCAAAGGAGGTAAGGCAAAGATGTACTCCGAATGCAAATTAAGATTTTGTGCCAAGTAAGTTAAAAAAGAACAGCCAACTTTCTTTCACAGGCCTTTAATTCAAGCCATCAGTTGATCCGATTCTTTTTTCTGCACGTATACCAAGTCAGCTATGCACCTTTATTAGAGAAGTCTTGCTGTTAGGTGGAAGATCCTAGTTTCTTGGGGTTGCTATAGGCCAAAAGCCAACGAACACAGTCTTGCAGCATCCAGATGTGAATGAAGTTGCACATGTACTCCTCATTTCAGGAAATGGATTGCATTATAATTGTATTCTGCACCAGAAATGTAGATGACTGCACTCCAATCTATTTCTAAACTACAGAACTAAAATTGTGCCATACAACTGCATGGCATGGAAAAAAAAAAAAAGTCACTCTAACGTTGAATGAAATTAATTCTATGACAGGGTCTAAATCCCATTTTAAAATCCTTAGTTCAAAGTACACATTCAAAAGCATAAAAAAGCATGTAAAAATATAGTCACCAATATAGTAATTCCTATTTAGCTAAAATTCATTATTCCTAATGATGCTGAAAGCAATACTAACCAGTGTACTAACCAGCACTACATTTTTTCTCCTCTACTTCTCTCCTCTTAACCTCAAATTTATACTGAAGGTTCCTCTTCCCACTTCCCCCCGCCCCGCATTCATTATTGTATAATACTCCTATAGTGGTTCAACTGAAGACATCATCTTAAGACAACACAGAATGCCATGATTTCCTGCATGCTCAGCACACGCCTAAACACACATATACACAGACTTAAGCGGGCTGGCTGGCTGATGCCTTTTCTGTAGTTAACAGATAGTAGTAGTTTTGTAGTTTTGATAATTTTTGCCTCATGAAAACAGCTAAGTCAACCAAACTGCTATACATGCTCTATATGATACTTAGTAATAAAAATATGAGTAGCTGTTTAAAATTTACCTATTCTAGCTATCACACTGGTTCAAACAGAAAGTCAGCTGTATAGATTTGGCTCTGCTGTGCGTGTGCCTTGTAAAACTAAGTTTAGCACTGCAGTAAACTTGACTTGCCTGTTACTGATGCTGAACAGTATTCATTACTTAAACTATCACAGCATCTCAGGTCTTAGTTACAGAAGAGATCATTCAAGTGGCGGTATCATTATAAAAACACCACAAAAAAACAATGGGAAAGAGATGATAAGAGTCAGTCAATCAGTATCTGACCACTTTATGAAAAGTACTATTCCACAGTAAACACGCCCACTTAGTTTCACTTGCAACATCAAGACACTGATCTAAGCTGAAGGGAGCATCAGTCCTGCAGAATTCTCATACTAACAAAATCCCTTAGGCAGCTGTTTGTCTTTAACTTGCACCAAACATGACCCACCAATAGTCTAACCCCTTCCCAACCAGAAGGCGTAACAAATATACTTTATGTTACTCAGTAAGCCAAGTCAGCCCTGATATTCCCTGCACTTCATGGTTATTCCAAGACAGCTAGCACTCAAAGCAGTACAAGTGAAGCACATTTGCAAAGGTTGACTGAGGACTAATTTCCTTTTCAGTCCTCTCTGCTTTCCACTCAGCCTTGAGCACTCCCATCTGAGAACCTTTTTGCACTGTAGGTTTTGCAAAGGAATGAATGCAAGAACACCTCTGAATACAGAACTTGGCTTTTGTGGAAATTCTCATTTCAGAACGTAGCCCAAGAAACAGATCTACAAGCTACTCATTTCTCCCGCTGTAGAAAAAGTTTAGATCGCTCCCCCTACCTCCTAGTTCCTGTGTGCGTGTTTTTTTTTTCCTTGTCTTCTTCAAAACTGTACAGGTTAGTCAAGACCAAATGCTCAAAAGGTATTAAAAGTCCATTAGACATTATTGAAGTTAACACTAGTTCAGTGCCCAAATACACTGCAATACAGGCATACATTTTTACACCAACATGCAAAAGAAGCAGAGTTAAACAGATTTTCTGTAAAACTATCTTGCAGATACAAAATTATTAATGGTGGTAGGACGAAGAACAGTAATGGAACAGCAGTGTGAAAAGCAATCACAGTGCGCTATTTTCTGTTCTACATAAACACCAAAGTAGAGCAAAGGGAATAAATGCATTCATTTACCCAGACTGCCTGGGTTTGTACTCAGTAGTTTGCAATTTTCTCTGCAAGCGTCTATGCTACTACCAGCACTCACAAGCAGTACAGCATAACAAATAAGCATCAGACTGGTAGTTAAACTTCATTTCAACATCCGGTTCTATCACTGACCTTTGCTCGCAAGCCAGGTCACTTCTTCTCTCCATACTTTTGCTTTCCTGTTCGGTCATTTGTCTGTCTTGACTGTTTTTAGTACAAGTTCTTCAGGGGTGCCTCTCTGGCATCTGTTCCTTACAGCATCAAGAACACGTTAACACAGGTGTACTCCCCGACTCTTAAATTTTCCTTTTATGGCAAGGATGCAACAACGACTTGCCACAGTTATTAGCTCATGCGAACCATGCAGCCACCTGCTGAAGCAGCCTATGCTGGCGGCGCTTAGTCAACCAGTAACAAGCCTAATTGAGAAGGCAGACAACGACAAAGCAGAAGTCCACTTGAAAATTGGCTTGTAGGCTATAGCTTTTTAGGTGGCTCAAGTTTTAAGTGAGCTAATTCTTATATTAAAGACAGTATATCTTGACAGTATCTTAAAAAAAAAACTCTTCATCAGATTGCATCTTCACCATAAAGGAGCACAAGATCATGTTTGTAAAAATAATTACAAACTTTCTTTTATTTAATAATACATGAAAGACTTTCTTACCATAGACTGTTTCTTAGCAAGGTCACATCGGCACTTTTTTGAGTTCATCTATATCTGTTAACACAGCATTCCAATGTAGAAATCACCTAGCTTTGTTCTGCTACTCAAGCAAGTATTTTTTCTGTTTAATTGTAAAGCAAAAATAATAGTTCTACAAGCAAAAATATTTGATTTCATATCACAAAGTAATAGCACCAAGTTTTGTTCTAAATTACTATCTTCTAGGCTATGGAAGAATAAATTCACCTTGCATGTGGATTTCTTTAGAACGTAAGAAGTCTTCTCAGCCCTTCAATGTTGTAAATACATTATTTTTCATCTCATATTCTGCAAGAGATGTCATTTTGCATCTTGATATTCTGCAATGGGAAATCCACAGCAGCAACAATAAGATTTTTGTAAAGCATGGAAGCTAAGCACCTATATTTGTCCACAGCAAGAAATTCATTACTCTCTCTTTTGCTGTGCCCCTTATGCCACCTGCAGTTCTGCAAAGTGACCTAAAGGGCCAAGTACCAGTCATGCCATTTCAGCCTCATTTGCTACAGGTTTACTGCACTGTTTCAATAACATTAGCCAAACACTAGTGCAATGTGATATATACATATGATAAACTGTATTCGCAATGCTGAGTTCCACCACCTCATCTGCCTGATTCAGGCATCACTCTTTGGCAATCACTGACCTCACTATCAGAAAGCAGGAGATGATTTTTCCAAGACACATTTAAAATCTGTCTCTGCCTTCCTGCTGCGGTCTAAGGGCAAAAATGCAAGTGAGATGCCACAAATTTACCATAGTAGTGTAAATGTTTATGGTAAAAGCTACAAGTTTGAACAACATATGATTTTACTTGCCAAAAACACCACACAGGCAAAGAGAAGTATAAAAAAGATCAGAAACCGATAATCTTAAGATACCAGTCTGGCCAGCAATTAGCTCAAGTAACACACTCCCCTGCAGCCCAGCTCTGATGCGAAACTGCTTGCTAATAGCTGATTTACCACATGACATCCTGGTGTAGCACTTTCATAGCAGAACTTGCTAACAGTTTGCACAGATAGAGCAAGCTTATTAAAATAAAGCTTTCCTGGACAGGGAAGAGGGGAGAGAAGTAAATGGGGAAAAAAAAAAAAACAGTAAGATTCAGAATCTGCAGTTATTTACACAGAGAAATTACAAATATGGCATAGCAAAACTAAATGAGTGCTAGACTAAACGTTACAGACCAAGAAAACACTTTCATTTAGCAAAAACTTCTTAAAAAAAAAAAAAAAAAAGGGGATGCAGTTATAAAGCATGCCAAAAGAACTGCATTTCTCATCCACACATCAGATGTAATAAAGAGTGATACCAGATGCTTTAAGTAACAAGGACAGGTACAGCTATAGCTACATCTGTCTTTTCAAGGCATACACAGGCAGCATTAATAAGTCCAGATTTGCTTTGACAGAAAGGAAAAGTTTTTCCACCTCATATTGTTCACTAGTCATTAATTTTCACAACATGGAACATTATCTTCTACTGTATAATAATCTGATCTGCAGCAAAAACAGGTCCAAAGGAAATTGAAACAAAGAGAAGGACATCCAAGCTAGCAGTTAAAACAATCAACAATTTGTATTTTGTCCACCAGTTTCCTGCAAGGAGCATGTCACACCCATCACCACAGCATCCAAGTCCCCTGCTATTTAAGTCTTTTTCTTTTATCCCTTCCAACCAAACTACGCACAGTTAGGAATCCTGCAACAAGGCTAGAACTTGGTTTAAGTCAGACAATGCTAGCAGGAAGTATTCTAGGGTTGTCGGGGCCCTTTTTCCTCCTCTCTAAGTTTCTAGCAGACCAAGGTATCCACCCTCAGACTGTGGAGCACTGCAAATTCTCTTTGACTGTCCCCAGACCATTTTGCAGCTTTGTATTTTTTGCCTGCTGCAACAGAACACCCGTACTCCCAACACTGGGGGAAACACTCCAGTTCTGCCCCAACTCTGTGTCTCTCCTACACAAAAACATCAAATTCCAACTTTAAATTTGGACTAAACAAGAGGGAGAGTATTATGAAGCAAGCAAAGCTGAAATGCTCCAAAAGCTTGTGCTAGCTTTGCAACGGTGATGTGACACTTCAAGGTACAGCTCATCAACTGTTTAACCCCATCTGCTCTACTTCAGTCACTGCATACTTATTTTTGACCAAATTTGGCTAGCTGAAGTACAGAAACTCAAATATGCTTACTCGGTCTAAATACTTCAGAGATCAAAAGCTCTGCGAGTAGCAAAAACATAATATAAAATAGTTTTGCAACATAAAATCAGTTTCCATTTCTCAGCTTAGAGATAACTAGATAATTGCTTTCAGACTCAGCTTTCCAGAATTCAAAGCCCTTGGCGGGACAAGCCCTCATGTCCTATGAGCCTCCGGAGGGAAAAATTCATACTGCAACTCTTCACACTTTCCCCATTTAAGCATAGAAGTGTAAAGTGTAAGAGTGGTCAATGGGAAATTGTTGAAAAGTATAGACTGTACTGAATTCACGGCTCAATTCTGATATTATCACCCATTTTTTTTTATTTAATGTAGGGTTTTGACAATAAAGCATACATACATGAGCATGCAAGTATCCCTTCAGACTAACAAGCTATTTTTCTTGTAGGCTAGGGAAGAAGGAAAAGGTGGTCACTCTTGTATTGAAATTCTCAGAGCTGTGCAGGTACTATGGCAACAAGATTAAAAAAAAAAAAAAAAAAAAAAAAAGGATGAGTTCTTTTAACACAAAAATCAAAGAAAGCAGTTGTGTTATCGTGATGGAATATCACTTTATAACTACCTTCAGCTTTAAGGAAAAAAAAAATCTGAGAATAATGCCTTAATACTGTATCATTTGCCTTTCTTTACCTTTGAAGTAATAATTTAAAAAATCATCAATACTCCCACTCTCAGCATACTAATCCTGCTGTCACAAATAGAAAGTAAAAAACCCTATGTTACAGATTTTGATGCCTCTTTTGACCTACCCCATGGGACTAGATCTTAACACATCATTGGCAGAAAGAAGAAATGCACTCAGTCAAGCCAAGAGAAAAAGCAACATTGATTTCACTTAGGCTATACCTTCTAAAGCAGACAAAGATGCCCTCATGTTCTGGTGCTCTTCAGAGGCACCAGTCCCTGGCTCACTCTTTGCAAAGACAGAACTGTTACTGCAGCTCTCACAGCAGGGGATATCACTATATCCAGTTCCACCACTGCCTCAAGTCATCTCTTCAGCTACTACTCTTACAGTGAAATCGTCCTGCCCACACAGAGGAAAAGTCTTAGGAGCAGAAGACATGCACAAGAGACACTTATCTTCAGTGTGCTGCAGCCTGCCACCTCCACAATGGGTCAGCAGGCAGAAACAACTGCACCAACACTCAGGTTTCTATCCTGAAGCTCATGATTTTGAGCTCTCATGTCTTCTCTGACTCCTCGCCTCCTCCTCTTTTTCAGGATGCTTCTACCCCTCTCTCCTATTTGAAGGAGACTGCCTGTAGCCAAAAAAAGAAAGGAGAGGAGCTGGCAACCTTAATTAAGGATTCTTGCCAGTTACAGGAACATAAAAGGTAGTTGGTGAAAAGCACATTTCCACATCAGAAGCAACACAACTGTCTTTGGAAAGCAGAAACCCTGGAAAATTACCTCCTCTTCAAACCTCTCCTAGGTGTAATGGAGGAAAAACTGTGCGGCTGCATGAGGAAGGTTCATTATCTTAAATCAAGTACAATCGTTTTCTCACATCACCTCCCTGTCTCTGGGATCTGAGGAGATTGCTTAAGAAAGATACTAATCACTGCCCACCTGGGATCACTAACAACAGAATTGCACAAGGACACAGCCGTCCACCTGAGTCTCCCAGTTTCTTTGAGAATCAGCCACCATATTAAAAAGAGCAAAAATGAACTGAAGAGTCAGGAGAATTAAAATGGGATCTCCAGAGGAAACAACAGACTTAACAAGTATGTCTTATTAGCCTTAAAAACAATTACTAGATTCCCAACTGAACAGAATCACGGTCACACCAGAGACCAAATTCTGAGCACTACAGAAGGCTGCCATTAATTTTTGTTATTATTTTGCAATACAGGCATTAGAGATTGTGGACAACTGAAATGCCGACCCAGGAACTCAGACCATCCTAGTTAAAAGTCTCTGATGGGACCAAGAGGCTGGAAATTCCAATGTCACGTCAAAAGTTTAGTTATACTGAAAGCTAGAACCTAATCTAAAAAGTGACCAGACTTGCAGTGTGCACGTAATAGCAGTGTAACAAAATTTGATAATTTTTGTTCTGCGGTAAAGAAGTAAGAAGGGACTAAGGCATCGCAAAACAAAAGCTCCCAATATCATGATGTACAGCTGTTGGAGAGGTAAGATGATTTTTAACATATAAAACACGTTATCTTAGTATACAATGACTAATTCACTGCAAGAGAAAAAGCCAAAACACGGCACGAAGCTGTAATTGTGATTTGACACCACAGGAAAATACAGGGAGGGGGCGGAGAACACAGAAATTTAGCCTTTAAGTATTTTGAAAAAACAGCTTCAAACATTAAATTGAAGTTAAAACTTTTCAAATGGAAATTAGCTTCTATTTGGAAAAATACTTAGGTACTGCCCCATATATAACAGATTTATTTAAAGTATTCAACCAACATAAACTCATTGGTAATGCTGGATGATTTCAGGGTACCTGGGACAAGCCCATATCACCAATGATAAAACACCTTTGGACATCTGCAGATGCACAGAGTACTTTCTTGGACTCAGCTCAGTAATTGGTGCACTCAAGAGTTGGGAAGTCCACTGGGAGGAAGGGCTGAAAAGGCCTGCTCTCCTTTTCCAATCAGTGAAAGACAACTAGGTACACAAAATGCTAAGCTCTACAACCTGTTATATTCTATTTACTGTAGTTTTTCAAGTCTTTAGAACTAACCATCTCCATCAGAAATACCAACACTGGTAACACTATTTACCTTTCCTCAAGGTAAATATTACCTTATTGCTAAACTGTCACGATAGGGAAAACAAAGTTATAACCCATTTAACCGTTCTAAACCAAGAATGTCTGAAAAACACTTAGATAGTAAAACATAGTTTTCGGCATCTTTAATTGAAACACCTGAACACTAAGTGCACAGGAAAAGACAAATACCCTCACCATCTTCTAAGAGGACAAACAGTAAAGCTTCCCAATCATAAGAGATCTAAGCTAAGCTACATAATTGCCAAAACATGCATGTTACTTGATAACTAGCAAAAGACTCTATTTAAATGCAGTTGTCAATTATCTGCAAAAATAAGCTTTCCTTAAAAAAAAATGCAAAACAAGACTAAAATCAATGACTAAATTAAAATACTTTTAATTGTAACTAAAACCAGCAGAGAAAAGCTATTTTAAATAAAGCTACCTTGTTTTACAATCTGGATTCTAATCTCAGATAACTCCATTTTTCAGCATATACCTCCTACACAAATCAGTGGACAGACAAAAAGGAGCATCTTAAGAAAGGAGAAGGGTTTCACTGCATCTGTTTGTATTGGAGAGTATAACCTTTAGGAACATCCACAGGGAATCAAGCCTATTTAATAAGAATCATAAAGAACATTTTATTTACCAGCAGAAACACTTTGTGTTTTCTCCCATGATTACTTTTCATTCATTTTGTTGCTCATTTTCTGTTTTATTATCTGTTTAGCTTAGACAGTTACATAATTCTATTTTGCTTTTGTATGCACAAAACAAATATTTGCACGAAAAACATATTTGCATTTTTTAAGTTACTGATCAGGAGTTCAGACAGAAAAATCAAGAAAGCCAATTACTTTTACACAAATAAAATGCAATTATATTTTACTATTCTTAGAGGGTAGTTTATAAAGTTGCATTTCACAATAAGAACTGATTTCTTTTTTAACCTTTTCTATATCCAGCCAGGATGCCTTGCAGATGATTTACTTCAAATTCATGATCAAAGGAAAGCCACTTGCTGAACACTGAAGAAGCAGAATTTGTTTAATTGCCACCATAGTTTTTGGCATCAGGACCTCTCTAAAAAGAAGCAGAAGACTATCTAAAACTAAGGTACTGAAAAAAACATGTACCAAGCTATACAACTACTGAAAGAAATGATCCCCAGGGAATACACCATCAGCTGCAAAGTGTGTATTCTCCTAGGGAAGAAAAAAAAAAAAAAAAAAGCTTTCCAATGGTTACCAAGCAACCAAGAACCAAGAGCAGAAAATAAAATGAAGCTTTCAAAACAGAAATGCAAACCAAAGGTAAAATTAATTATTTAAAACTCAAATCCAGCTGGTTTAATCAACCACTCTGAAAGCATTTTTTTATAAAAACTTTTCTTTAATCTCTGACCTCTGAAAAAAAAACCCACAAATTTTAAAATAGATGCTTTCCACTTACATCCTGAGGATCTCCCATTATTCCAGAGTATATTTATTAGTCACTTTTGAAATCTATAAATCCTTCATTTAACCTAAATATTTATGACATTTTCTTAAAAAAAAGAAAAATTTTTTTAGAAGGTACTATTAAAATATTATTCCCAAGACACAATAATCTAAATTTTTAGTATGATATTATTCAATGAACAGGTACAATAAAAAAGAAGACACAAATTGCAAACTTGTGTTGACTAAATTCTTGCTTTCAAGTAAAAGAACTAAGACAGATTAAAGACCAAAAAAAAAAAACTGGGTTTAGTTCTATATAGCTATAAAGATATAGATATCGGGCTTATAACTTTCAGCAATAACTGCACTGTTTTTCCTCAACTCCAGGACTTTCTCCTACTGCTTTAGGACATGACCATTAAAATACATTTATTAGTCACCTCAGTGATTCACATCATCCTTTCATTTCCTTTTACACTTTTATTGTGATAATTCATAATGTATTTTACCATATCCTGTCAACATGGGGTGGGGGGAAACACACACCTGTTCCATGATTCAGAATCAAACCTGGGCTGACTAAGGAGCTATTGAAAAATGCCTAGTCCAGCAAGGTGTTCTAAGCTACCTAACCAGTGGTCTGGTCTGGCTTCAGATGTCCAATCCAGATCTTTATTTATTCAACTATTCTGAATCACTGCTGCCTTTCTTTCCAGTGCAGTTCACAGAGGAGATATCTTTATTGCTGTTGCTTGATACGTGATCAATTAAAAACACAAAAGCTTACATAAAATCTATGCAGTTTACTTCTCTAACATCTAATCAATAGTTCTCATCTCAGTTTTTTCCATATGTGATCCATATTATTTTACATTTACATAAGTTCCCCCTCTAAGTTATACCACTTGGAATACAGGTATGGCCACACCTCTTTTTCTTATTTGCCCTTATAGCAGGTTAGTACACGTAGTAGCAAGACCATAGCTGACGGATTTACACGTGCGCAAAGGCTCCCAGCACATGCACTTTTCTCACAAGCACATGCCACTACTTCTGGAATACGCCTCAAAAGCAGTTTCTAGTGCTTCTGCTCAGAAATGTAGCTTCCGAATGTTTAAAATAGTGCAGTACTGTAGTGTGGCGTTTCAGGCCTGGGAAGGCCATGGAGAATTTGCAGCTTTTGTCATTTTTTTGGAATTGCCCATTTCACATGTGCAAATATAAGATGTAACCCAAAATAATGCATCTAATGGGACAACATTCATAAATTGTCTAAGACTTGTACATAGATAGAAAGCATTGCTGTTTCAAAGAAGCATGAGAAATAACGCTTTTTACTATGTATGTACAGTCCCTTCAGCCTGTATTATTCTTCTCATGTCTACCTCTCTAGAACTAAAGTTCTGTGCATTTTTTTTTTCATTTTTAAAGGCAAGACCATAACACCCAAGCCACCTCCAGAAACCCAAGGATTACAAACCGCCTCTCTAAAGACTATAATCATATTACTTCGACTACAATCTTACAGTCAAAGGAAAAAAAGATCACAGTCTAAGCGGAAATTAAAAA